ATAATATATATATATATATATATATATATATATATATATATACTACACAGTAAAGTCATTCAAAACACTCCCTTACCTGGTGAATCTCATAATTAGCCTTCGAACAATTAATTTCTTATTAGCTTTCCCCTTTTAATCGTTAGGAAAATCAATACAAAATCAATATCTGGACGCGCAAGTTGACTTAAATCAATAGTTTGGTGGGTGAAATAATAAGCAGTGTGACATCATCATTTTATTATATTATAAATGCAGGGTATTTTTGAACTAAGTTATATAGTTCAGGAAAAGGATGAATCATTCTCAAAGATTAAGGGTATGTTGAACTAGAGCACATTATTCAGAGACATTTATAAAATTAATCCAAAAAATAAATCTGCTCTCTCACTCTATTAGATTAAGTATAGTCTAGAGCAACTAATGTTTTTTTGTTAATGAACATTACTAGGCAAAAATTAGGGTTAATCTCAACTATACCTCTTGAACTTTGAGGCTATTTACAGTTTGCCTGCCGAAATTTAAAAAATCTCATTCCTCTCCGAATCTTGAATTAGTCCCAATATACCTCCTTTAGTAGAATTTCTATTTAAAAAAATGGGAGAAAAGGGGTAGTGCAGTCACTGCCTGGTCATCTGAGAATTTGTGTTAAAACAAATTAAAAAAGACCACATGATCACACACTTGACCCCTCTTTTTTCCATCTATTTTTAACATAAATTCTAATAAAAGCATTGATTTGGACTACTTCAAAACTCAGGAGGTAAAGTGAGAGTTTTTAAAGTTCAATGAGTCAACTAAAAATGTCCTAATGTTTACAGGTTTCAGATAAGACCATAAGAAAATAGGAAAACCCCAGAAATACCACTCAAGACAGTGAAAAAATATTATTTATGGCATTTCGCTCAAAAATAAACAATTGTCATTCAATTAATAAAGAGAAAATAAAAAGACACAATGATATTTAATTGTTTAGAATGATATAAATAATAGACATGTATAAAATCATCGCAAACTACGTACTTTTCTCTAAGAAAAAAAGCCTAAGTAGGCCAAGCGGCCGGCCTTGAGTTTCTAGCTCAAGTAACACAGCTATACGTCCTCTTTGAGAAAATTACAGAATTTACGAGCCTAGACTTTTATTCCTTACTCTTAATAAATATTCTTTTATTAGTATAATTATTTAACTAAAAATGTTATAAATCAAGATTACGTGCACTTTTAAAGTATTTATCAAAATTACCGTAACTTTGCCATGGCCTCACTGGGCCGAGTACCCAATTCCGTCTTAATTTGGGGCGGGCTCATCCATCATTAGTGCCTGGTTCGGCCCAAAACAAAAAAGGAGAGAAGGAAACACCTTGAGCTTTTGCTCCCATGGCGTCCGCGTCCAATTCCCGCCTCTGAAAAAAAAAAAAAAAAAAAAAAAAAACAAAAATCTTAATCTCGCCGAGAGAGAGGGAGAGATGAGCACGACGGAGCTTCCGAGGAAAGAAACAAACGTTCTTAAAGGCCACGAAGGCGCCGTATTGGCGGCGAGGTTCAACGGCGACGGCAACTACTGCCTGAGCTGCGGCAAGGACCGTACTATCCGCCTCTGGAACCCTCACCGCGGAATCCACGTCAAGACCTACAAGTCCCACGGCCGCGAAGTCCGCGACGTCCATGTCTCTCCGTAACATTTCTCTGTCAACTCCATTTCTTCTCTCTCCTGTCTGTTCACCAACTGTTTGTGTTTTTGTTTCAATGAAATACTGTGGTTTGTCTCTCTTATAGGGACAATTCCAAGCTGATCTCTTGCGGCGGCGATCGGCAGATTTTCTACTGGGATGTCGCCACTGGACGTGTCATTCGCAAATTCCGCGGCCACGACAGCGAGGTCTGTTTGTTTCCAGAATTGTGTCTTATTTTCGTACTTGCATTTTTGCTCATTTCTGTATATTTTAGCAAATTATTTTACTCTTTTCGCAACTTAAGTCACAACTCAGTTTTTTTTTACAAAAATTTAAATTTAACTATTTTGCTACTGTATTTTTCTCTCCTAACTCAAGGTATTAACTTGAATTATGAAACAAACATATCCTTAATTTTTTGTTTTCTATGGTGTTTTTTGTTGGGGTATAGAGCTTAATTATTGTCTCGACACAAAGTTAGCACCTGAATCGACCTTTTATGTTTCAGTTGTCCTAAGCTTACTTATATTGAAAGCGTCAGTTTTGGAGAATTAGGTTAAAGAGAAGCACAAAGGGCCCGTTTTGTTCACGCACTTAAAACCATAATTTTGATTTTGTTATGGTATTTTTTCTCACACAAAAAATTTGAATGAAAAAAGTTCCCGCCAATGAGTTCTCTCACAAAATTTAGAATCAAAATCATTGATTTAAACGCGTGAACCAATGGGCTAAGAGAGTCCGCGAGGCTTTTTTATAATAAAGTTCTGCACTGGCAAAAAGTGAGCATTGTTCTAACATTGAGGGTGAACTGCTATAAATTATGCGCATGTTACCGTGTTTATTTGCTTTTTCTTTATTTGTTTTTGTTGTAAGTGTAGGAGCAGGACTTTAATCTGTAACAATACTTAATCTTAAATAGAATGAGAAAGGAATAAGACTAGAAGTCAAATTTTTTGATTCTATGTTTTTTTTCCTAACTACATTAGCAATTAGAATGAGAACTAGGAAGAAAAGTAATTCAATTAGTGAAATGTTGTCTTGCATAAGTCGTACTAAATTAGATTATAGATTAGATTAATAAGGCCTTTGGGACTTGGGTGTTCATTTTTGTTGTGATGGTATGTGCTTTGCCGTGTGGGTAATTGTTGAAGTCAATTTGCAATGGAAATGGAAAGAAAATCAAGTCATGCTTACAGCTCTTCTTTTTTTTTTTTTTCATATTCCTTATAAGTAAACATGTCATTGATGTGTAGGTGAATGCTGTGAAGTTTAATGAGTATGCGTCTGTGGTCGTTTCAGCGGGGTATGATCAGTCATTGCGTGCTTGGGACTGCAGGTCTCACAGTACTGAGCCAATTCAGGTTTGTTTGTTTCAAGGTTTGGGGTTTATGGCTTTGTAGTGACTTGTTTATTACTGGGAAGTTCTTTTTTTTTCTTTTTAAAGGAAAAATTTTGGCTAATGTTGCAGATCATTGACTCATTCGCGGACAGTGTGATGTCTGTTTGCCTAACAAAAACTGAAATTATCGGAGGAAGCGTTGATGGGACTGTACGAACATTCGATATTCGTATTGGTAGGTATGTCATGTTTTTAATGAACTAGTTCATAATTACCTGATATCTATGTACTTTAGAATTCAAAATTTGTGAATTTGTTAGCTTCATGAATAAAGATGATGACTTTTGTTTTCCTCGTATTAAGAATGCCAAACTTTTTTTTTTTTTTTTGCTTGAAATTAAGAATGCTAACTTGAACGCAATGAATTGCATTTGACACCATCACAAAAATGATTGAGACTTTTTTTATTTCTTCTTTTGCTCCATTATGTAGAGAAATATCTGATGATTTGGGGCAGCCTGTCAACTGTATCTCAATGTCAAACGATGGTAACTGCATATTAGCAAGTTGTCTAGATTCGACATTACGACTTTTGGACAGGTAAAAAATGTTATGGGATTACTTAATACAGACGTAAGCTGAATTTTCTAGGACCCATTAACTAAAGTTTTTTCATGTCCTAGGTCTACCGGCGAACTGCTGCAAGAATATAAAGGTCATACCTGTAAGGTTAGCACACAATGACTTTTCCTGTTTACTGATACTAACGACATTTTGCTTATCCGCCACTGACTTGCGTCCTTCTTCTTTTTGCTACATTGGCCATCTTCGGATACATTAACTCTGCATTTTCTTTTTTAATTTGCTTTCGATTCGAATTCCAGTGTATGGATTCTTATGCCTCTTGATTTGAAGTACTCTATGCCCTCATCATCTATCCTGTTTTGCCTATGTTTCTTTCACTCTTCATTTTCATTATCTCAATTGGTTGTTTCTGTATCAGTCTTACAAACTAGATTGCTGCCTTACCAACACTGATGCACATGTAGCCGGTGGATCTGAGGATGGTTTCATTTACTTTTGGGACCTGGTAGATGCATCTGTAGTGTCAAGATTCCGAGCTCATTCTTCAGTGGTAAACGCTGTTTGTTTCCCACTTTCCCTACTCTTTGACGGGACTCAAAAGAAATCTTAGAAGGGAAAAATCCCTAAATTAGGGAAAAAAACGCAACTTTCTATTCAATTATCAAAATATTAAGTCTCTCTATTACAATAGCTAGTGTAGCTATTTAGAGCTCACATACAAAATGATAACAAAATACAAACTAAAATAAACGACAAACTAATAACAAAATAAAGTTAATAAGCTAGAATAAGCAACAACGTAAATATAAAAATGATTACTTATTACTAAATCCCTCTACATCATTCTAGTCAAAACTTTGTTTGTGGTTGAAACAAAGGTTATTTGTTCCCTAAACATGTTTCAGTACCTCTCTCTAACAACTCCTGAGCAACTGGCATAAGTTCATTAATTTTTTGTCCGGTTATTAGAAGTGTTTAGTGGCTTGTCATTTCACCCATTGAAAAATTCAATTTCTTTCATATATTGGTTGATGCAGTTAGGGATGCTGCCAATCGGTGGTTGAAGTTTAGTAACAATTACTCATTCGGAAATTAACAAAACCACTCATCTAATTCTCCAACATGGATATATTTTATTCCGGAAGTCCATAGTTATTGCTCTTAGCTCATGTGATTCAATCTTAGGTTCACTCAATTTAAGGAGAATTTATGCTGGTGTCAAATATTTGGCCCGTTCTTTATATATATATATATGGACGAGTTACGTTTTTATTATTAGTTATCACTCAGATGTAAAAATTTGAAACGTAGTGTGATAAGAATCTAATTTTATTAATTTTTTTAGTCAATTATATAATTTATTATAATCATCGGATTAATATCTTACTGCTAAAATAATGATACCCATTGATAGATAAATATTAGAGTAACCATTAAAACCATATATATGTATGTATATAAACACAAACACTTGTTTGGTCTTGTTCATTTTACAATTCAAGTCACAACTCAAGTTTTATTGCTACAATATATTCTCTCACAATAATTTAAATTCAACTTTTTTATTGTAGTATTTTCTCTCACAATAATTTAAATTCAATTTTTTTACGCAGTGTTTTCTCTCATAATAATTCAAATTTAACGCTTTTACTACACTGTTTTTATCTTACATACACAATTCAAATAATAACTTAAATTATAATTTGAGTTGTGAAATGAACACACATGTTCGGAGGGCGGCAGCCTCCAGTGCTTTAGCCAAAAGGAGATACAAATTACCACCCGATTCATATTCCTTTTTTTTTTTTTAGTTCATAATCCAATTTAAATGTTCCATAAAAATATTACATTCATACTTTTATAATTGATTTTCTTCGACCTAAGCTTACTTTTTGCCGGCCTTTAAGTCTACTTTTCTCCCATCTTGGTGGGTAAACTACTTTTTTTTTTCCTTCTCATATTAGTTTTACAGCTAGAGTTTATAATATGCACGCTATGTTCATGTTTTTTGTTGACAAACAGATATATGTCCCAGTAATCGAATAGCGACATATTATTTAGATGAATTTATGTCAATAAGTGAGTGCAAACTTAGGGGATGTTTGGTACATAGATTCGTTCATTAATTCGAATTATGGTTTATAGTTTGTTACAGTATTTTCTCTCATAAAACATACACGTAAATCAAAAATAACTCTAATCACATGATTCTAATCCATGAATTAAACGTCTCCTTAATCTTGGCATAAGTTCACAATGTAAGTTTGAATGCCTCTCCTAAGTTTTAGAAACATTATAGATATTTTCTAATAAGAAACATAATTAAAAAAAATTGTAAGTTTATGTTTGCAAGACCCAAGCTGAAAAAATAAGGACCCCTTTGGAAGTGGTCCCGTTCACTTCGCTGATTCGAGTTTAGAATTTGAGTTTTTTTACAGTAAAAAGCTCTCACATAAAATCACATCTCAACTCGAATTCTAAACTCAAATCAGCAAAGTGAACGAGATGGTTTAAATTAGAATTCAAATAACATTGTAATAAACTTTTTAAATTTAATTTTTTATGAGAAAAAAAATTTATTTGAACCTAAACTAGATGAACCCATACTCCAAACACACTTTAAATTGAAAATTCTCAAAATCCATCTTAGATTACATATTGCTGCAAGCTCTTTTTTTTCATCTTTTTTTTTTTTTTTTTTTTGAGGCAAAAGGCTTAAAAGGTTGCTAAAGATGAGTATTTTGTTGACAAGGCCATATAGCTGGACTTAATAGTTCCGTTGGGAAGATAGAAATTTAGGTCCTTTGCTTGACTTCTCTGAATGCGCAACACATGATCCAGCTGTGATATACATTTTACTATCCTCAAACTACAACCAAATACTAAAAGAAGAAAAAACTCGCAATTTTTAAGAACCTTAATCAAACATTGAGGCCCCATTCGTTTCGATCATTTGAATTGAGAACTTAAATTAAAAAGTGAATTCATATGAGAGAAAATACGGCTACAGAAAATGTGGAATTTGAATTTTTCTGAAAGAAACACTGTAGTAAAAATTTGAGTTGTAATTTGAACTAGCGAAACGGATGGAGCCTGAAAAATCACACTTTGTTATATTTCATACGGCCATATAAATTTTGATAATTGATATCAAAATTAATAAATTCACTATCATGTTAAATTAAAGTTTCGTTCATTTCACTCGATTCGAGTTTTCAGTTCTAAGTTTCTACAGCTAAAAGCTTCAGAAAATGTCACATCTCAACTCAAATTGAAAACTCGAATCCGCAAAGTGAACGAGGCCTAAATCCACCTGTTAAATTTCAAGAAAAAAATCCACTTGTTAAAAAAAGAATGCTATTTTTTTCTCATTGGTTTCCGATTCTGAACCTGACCTCAATCAATAAGCTAGAAAATAGGGTAATCTTGACAAAAACATATTGAAAGTGTACGGATCATGATTTTTACCCTTTACTCTTAATTTATAACATTTTTAATCAAATAATTACACTAATAAATTAATATTTATTAAAAATAATAGATAAAACATCAGACTCATACACTCTTAACGATAAATTTTTATTTTTTTTTAAAAAGTGACATCACCAGAGGCTTACAGCCAATAAAGGCACTGTGTCCTTTCTGGCCCAAACCTTGAGAGAGAGAGAAGAGACATTAGGGATTTCTCCATCTATTCCCCCTCTTTTTTTTTTAATTAGAATTTGGTCCCTTCTCAATTTTATTTGCATTCAATAAATATAGAGGCCTCAATTGGTAAGCATATTTGAACTAATAATTCTGATTTTATTACAGTATTTTTTATCTCATACAAAATTTAAATTTAAAAATTTATTCTTTTATAAAATTCTCATCAATAAATTAGAATTGAACGCATGAACTAAACGTACTCATAATGTTGTTCTTGACATCTTATTTGTGTTTGACCAAACTATCCCTACCAACCACTTGTAAAGGTGTTCGCCAATTCTCAAATCTGAGTAATCCGTCCAACTTACGGGCTCGTTTAGTTCGTTGATTCGAGTTGAAATGTGACTTTGTGTAAGAGCTTTTTACTGTAGTAAAAAAGTTAGATGTGACTGTTTCTTAGAGTTTTTTACTATAGCAAAACTCGAATCGATAAAATGAACAGGGCCTACATCAACGCTTATGGGTTTGGTTGGGAGCATTTTTCATTTGGTACGAGATAAGAAAATCCTAGTTCAAAAAGTTTTGGGTTGATTAGCTGATTAAGCATCACCAATTCACGAAATCTAAACCCTATATATATATATATATATGAAAATTTATTTTTGTGTGTATATATATATATATATATATATATGTATGAGTTGGCTTTAAGATTTCTAAAATTGGCCACTTGTCGAGGCTACTCATTTATTATGATGGATTGTAAAAGGATGTTTGGTTCACGAATTTATAATTATGATTCAGAATCATTATCAGTTTACGTGTGTTTTTTGTGAGAAAAATACGAGCCACGAATCATGATTTGAACCATGACACAAATCCTCAATTCAAAAAATGAATTATGGTATGTTTAAACTATTTCATATATTATGGTATGTTTATTAAACTATTATGGTATGTTTATTTTAACTTTTAATTTTGAAATGATTTTTTGAACTAATAAAAAAATGGACCTCCTAGAGTCTTAAAATTATAGATCTAATTTCTTAAAAAAAAAAGAAAAAAAATCCTATACTTTTAAGTTATAATGGGTTGGGTTAAGGGACTTTATTGGTATCGAATTAAAAGATTCTCAATCCAAAAGGCAAGTTAAATTGATCTTTAATTGACAAAATTCTATTGCCTAACCACTCGTAGTTGGTAGTCACTTTACCGAGAAACTCTTAGGAGACATTTGGTTCATAGATTAGAATCATATGATTAAAATTATTTTTATTTTACGTGTATTTTTTATGAAAGAAAATACTGTAACAAATTACGAACCATTATTCAAACTATAAATTATGATTTAAATCATAATTTGAATCCACCAACTAAATATCCTCTTACAATTGGTGAACGATGGTCACCTATTGGCTTAGTAATAGTAATTTATTAGGCAACTCTTGCGATGATTTTTGTCGGTGGTCACCTACTAGGAATAGTCACATCTTAGGTGACGCACAAGATAAGTGGTAGCAGTTGACGGTTTGCTCAGTGATTAATAATTGATTCATTTGCATTGGAGAATTTTATCATTTTGATTGATTGATACTTTTCACGTAGCATTAAAGTGATATTCCATTAGAAAAATATTAACGTCATTTTTTATTAAAATAATAATATATTAATGCAGTCCACGTATTAATGCTCTGTTTATTTTACTGATTTGAGTTTTATTACAATAAAAAACTTTAAAAAATAGTCACATTAATTTTTTTACTACAGTAAAAAACTCTCACATAAAGTCACATCTCAACTGCAGTTAAAAACTATAATTAACGAACTAAACAGGCTTCAAATAATAAATGTACTGAGTGACAAAAAAAAATTAATACTAGCATTTTTCTTAAAACATATAGAAAAATTGAAGTTAAAATATAATAAAATTTATAGAATAATTTAAGAATAATAAAAATTAATTTCATTAATCATTAAAATAATAATTATGTATATGTTATAAAGTATCACATCATTATTATAATTACTATCTCGGTTTTGTTATCTCTGGAATATTTTGAAAATTTTATTAAATTTTAATTTCATCGTAATTATTCTCTAATTTTGTCATGCAACTATTTCTTAAATTTCCATCAACATAGTACTTTAAACTTTTTGGCACTATAAAAATGTCCAGTTTATTTTTTGAATAACGTAGGGATATCAATTCAAATCTCAATTTTTGTGTACTGACTGATATGGTATCTGTCTGTGTTATCATGTTTTACATTTGTGAGTGTTTAATGATTGTCACATTAATTAATGATAAAAGTTTGCATCTATTAATAAAAAGATGATAACATATATGTCACATTAATTGGTATATAAAAGTTGAGATTTAAGTTGGTAGAGCATTACTTTATTTTTTTAAGAGAAA